CCAGTCACTTTAGTTTTTGAGTGAAAAAATTGTTTGTAAAGTCTTACTTTACAAAAAATCATTATTTTCAAAAAATCGTAACTCCATTAATAATAACTCAATTGCTTTGAGTTTTTAGTATTTTTTACATTCAATCATTAGAAAAAAGTCTTCAAAATTTCAACTTTCCACTCACTTTAGTTTTTGTGTGAAAAAATTGTTTGTAAAGTCTTACTTTACAAAACATCATTATTTTCAAAAAATCGTAACTGCTTTAATAATAACTCAATCGGTTTGAATTGGTATTTTTCACATTGAATTATTAACAAAAAGTCCTCAAAATTTCAACTTTCCACTGACTTTAGTTTTTGAGTGCAAAAATTGTTTGTGGAGTCTTACTTTACAAAAAATCATTATTTTCAAAAAATCGTAATTCCATTAATAATAACTCAATTGCTTTGAGTTTTTGATATTTTTTACATTAAATCATTAGAAAAAAGTCTTCAAAATTTCAACTTTCCGCTCACTTTAGTTTTTGAGTGAAAAAAATTGTTTGTAAAGTCTTACTTTACAAAACATCATTATTTTCAAAAAATCGTAACTCCATTAATAATAACTCAATTGCTTTGAGTTTTTAGTATTTTTTACATTCAATCATTAGGAAAAAGTCCTTAAAATTTCAACTTTCCAGTCACTTTAGTTTTTGAGTGAAAAAATTGTTTATAAAGTCTTACTTTACAAAACATCATTATTTTCAAAAAATCGTAACTCCATTAATAATAACTCAATCGCATTGAGTTTTTATTATTTTTTACTTTGAATCATTAGGAAAAAGTCCTTAAAATTTCAACTTTCCAGTCACTTTAGTTTTTGAGTGAAAAAATTGTTTATAAAGTCTTACTTTACAAAACATTATTATTTTCAAAAAATCGTAACTCCATTAATAATAACTCAATCGCATTGAGTTTTTATTATTTTTTACTTTGAATCATTAGGAAAAAGTCCTTAAAATTTCAACTTTCCAGTCACTTTAGTTTTTGAGTGAAAAAATTGTTTGTAAAGTCTTACTTTACAAAAAATCATTATTTTCAAAAAATCGTAACTCCATTAATAATAACTCAATTGCTTTGAGTTTTTAGTATTTTTTACATTCAATCATTAGAAAAAAGTCTTCAAAATTTCAACTTTCCACTCACTTTAGTTTTTGTGTGAAAAAATTGTTTGTAAAGTCTTACTTTACAAAACATCATTATTTTCAAAAAATCGTAACTGCTTTAATAATAACTCAATCGGTTTGAATTGGTATTTTTCACATTGAATTATTAACAAAAAGTCCTCAAAATTTCAACTTTCCACTGACTTTAGTTTTTGAGTGCAAAAATTGTTTGTGGAGTCTTACTTTACAAAAAATCATTATTTTCAAAAAATCGTAATTCCATTAATAATAACTCAATTGCTTTGAGTTTTTGATATTTTTTACATTAAATCATTAGAAAAAAGTCTTCAAAATTTCAACTTTCCGCTCACTTTAGTTTTTGAGTGAAAAAATTGTTTGTAAAGTCTTACTTTACAAAACATCATTATTTTCAAAAAATCGTAACTCCATTAATAATAAATCAATCGCTTTGAATTTTTAGTATTTTTCACATTGAATCATTAGGAAAAAAGTCCTCAAAATTTCAGCTCTCCACTGACTTTAGTTTTTGAGTGAAAAAATTGTTTGTAGTCTCACTTTACAAAAAGTCATTATTTTCAAAAAATCGTAACTCCATTAATAATAACTCAATTGCTTTGAGTTTTTAGTATTTTTTACATTGAATCATTAGGAAAAAGTCCTCAAAATTTCAACTTTCCACTCACTTTAGTTTTTGAGTGAAAAAATTGTTTGTAAAGTCTCACTTTACAAAACATCATTATTTTCAAAAAATCGTATCTCCATTAATAATAACTCAATCGCTTTGAGTTTTTAGTATTTTTTACATTGAATCATTAGGAAAAAGTCCCCAAAATTTCAACTTTCCACTCACTTTAGTTTTTGAGTGAAAAAATTGTTCATAAAGCCTTACTTTACAAAAAATCATTATTTTCAAAAAATCGTAATTCCATTAATAATAACTCAATTGCTCTGAGTTTTTGATATTTTTTACATTAAATCATTACAAAAAAGTCTTCAAAATTTCAACTTCCCACTCACTTTAGTTTTTGAGTGAAAAAATTGTTTGTAAAGTCTTACTTTACAAAACATCATTATTTTCAAAAAATCGTAACTCCATTAATAATAAATCAATCGCTTTGAATTTTTAGTATTTTTCACATTGAATCATTAGGAAAAAAGTCCTCAAAATTTCAGCTCTCCACTGACTTTAGTTTTTGAGTGAAAAAATTGTTTGTAGTCTCACGTTACAAAAAGTCATTATTTTCAAAAAATCGTAACTCCATTAATTATAACTCAATCGCTTTGAGTTTTTAGTATTTTTTACATTGAATCATTAGGAAAAAGTCCTCAAAATTTCAACTTTCCACTCACTTTAGTTTTTGAGTGAAAAAATTGTTTGTAAAGTCTCACTTTACAAAACATCATTATTTTCAAAAAATCGTATCTCCATTAATAATAACTCAATCGCTTTGAGTTTTTAGTATTTTTTACATTGAATCATTAGGAAAAAGTCCGCAAAATTTCAACTTTCCACTCACTTTAGTTTTTGAGTGAAAAAATTGTTCATAAAGCCTTACTTTACAAAAAATCATTATTTTCAAAAAATCGTAATTCCATTAATAATAACTCAATTGCTTTGAGTTTTTGATATTTTTTACATTAAATCATTACAAAAAAGTCTTCAAAATTTCAACTTCCCACTCACTTTAGTTTTTGAGTGAAAAAATTGTTTGTAAAGTCTTACTTTACAAAACATCATTATTTTCAAAAAATCGTAACTCCATTAATAATAAATCAATCGCTTTGAATTTTTAGTATTTTTCACATTGAATCATTAGGAAAAAAGTCCTCAAAATTTCAGCTCTCCACTGACTTTAGTTTTTGAGTGAAAAAATTGTTTGTAGTCTCACTTTACAAAAAGTCATTATTTTCAAAAAATCGTAACTCCATTAGGTAATAATAACTCAATTGCTTTGAGTTTTTAGTATTTTTTACATTGAATCATTAGGAAAAAGTCCTCAAAATTTCAACTTTCCACTCACTTTAGTTTTTGAGTGAAAAAATTGTTTGTAAAGTCTCACTTTACAAAACATCATTATTTTCAAAAAATCGTAACTCCATTAATAATAACTCAATCGCTTTGAGTTTTTAGTATTTTTTTACATTGAATCATTAGGAAAAAGTCCTCAAAATTTCAACTTTCCACTGACTTTAGTTTTTGAGTGAAAAAATTGTTTGTAAAGTCTTACTTTTCAAAACATCATTATTTTCAAAAAATCGTAACTGCATTAATAATAACTCAATCGGTTTGAATTTTTAGTATTTTTTACATATGATTTTTCCGTCATCCATTACCTTCTCCAGATAATCATGTATGGACCGCCACTGACCACGCTGGGGAATGGAAAATGACAATGACCGACATAGAATGGTGGATCCATCCATAGATTTAATATCTAGTATAAACGTGACAAGATAAGTTACACCCTATCTAGAAGCATTGGAGCAAGGTGGCATAAACATGTGTTAAGAATCTCTAAATGGGTTTTTGGAAATCGTATTATAGAAAACCAGCGTAAACAAAGTAAGAGAGACAAAATCAAAATATTTGGAGAGAGATCTTTGTACCATATTTGGGAGTTGATTACCCATCTTTTAGTGCTAACTAGAAATAATCTAAGGTTAACTCACTCATATCGTAAAAATCTATTTTCCATTAAATCACAAAACGTTATTTTTCCCCACATCTTCAATAACATGTTTACTTTTAATCACACTTCACCTCGATTTGAATTAACTAAAACCTGAACCTCGCCAACCTCGATGCAATTTGTCTTTGAAATAGACTCAATGTCGCTATAACCAATCTCGTTTGTCAAACAATCCAACATTTCTCAATAACCTTATTTCAGCCTCAAAATCCGAGAGTATATTCTCCAATAAATTGTTCCATTTGGAAATTGAATACGGGTATAACTCTAGAAATGGCAAATTTAATTCAAACTGAACAGACTAATATTTCACATACGTATACCGTAACATTGGGTATAAATGTCTTTGGATTTCGAGAAAGACTTAATAATAATTCTGTCTTGCTCCATTAAGCAGTATAACTTTTTTATTAGAAAAATAAAGACATGTTATTAAAAAAGAAGAAAAACGAATCCATATTCAATGAGGCAAAACAAGGAGACGCATTTTCTCTGAAAGGATGAAAATCTGTAAAACCGGGATTCTACGTGCGAGAAAACCCATACATTTTCAGGAAAAGTAGCTATTTGGCTTTTACCTTTTTCGTTTCAAATTGATTCGCTCTACCGAATCCCTTAGGAATATAGAGTAGAGTGGAAAGATATGGAAAAAAGTCTATGTATTTTGTGTACCATTCGAAATTTATGTAGTATTTTCCTCATATACAATATATACTTAGTCCATAAGTTATGTCGACATTTATCTATTGAGTCCTACTAATCTGAAAATCCGTATGTCATCATGCAACAATAAATAAAACCAAAATAGAATTCCTTCTGATTGTTATTGTTTTCGTTAATAATAATATTGGATTACACAGTTAAGTAAGTAAACGTAAAAGTCCGAAATCGTGTATTTAGGCCGGAAGCGAAGTAGGAGTTATATTTATTCAGGCCTGAGCAAATACACAAACAACAAGGTTTGTCTTAAATTGGCAAAAGAAATAAGTAATTCATGCGGAGCACGAGTTATCCCTCAGGTTTATTTGTGTAATTATTTAAACAGGAAGGGAATGAGGCAAATCACTTTTTGGCCTGAAGATAGTGGAACCTGATCAGGTAGGTACATTATTTGTTAAGGCGTTTCGTTTATCTTGGCCAAAGTGTTCTATGGTTTATTGAAATGCTGTCAAATTATTGATCTCCTTCTTCACCTTTTTCTTTTTCCATAAATTGATCGATTCAAAATCCGAGTCAAAGTCAGAACTTTGAGTTTCTGCTTCAGGGATGGCTTCTTTTTCTGACAAATCGTCAATCGGTTCATCATTGACCGTGGACTTGCAAATCATCTTCAAAAGATAGTCAGGTAAGCCACAATATGATATTTTTTAACATCATTCCCATTTTTTAGGATTCATATGATTACTTGATCATTTTAGAAGTTCAAGCTCAAGTGTCCATTGAGATTTCTAAATTTACTTTGCACGTCATGAAAACCACCCACCCTAAAAAAAAGCGTCTGTTATACTCATCTTGAGGGTAGTATGTGTGGACTACTTAAATTATCCATAACATGACCTGTTCATATTCTTGTGAGCTGATGTTCTTTTTGTCTTAGAGTAAATAAACCAACACTTTATAGAACTAAATTTTATGGGACCTTAATCTAATCAGGATATACGAGAAAACATCTGGAAAACCATAATTTTCTTCTGTACAAATTGGTCTGAAGAATAATCGGCTTATTTTAAACTTAATTTTTGAAATAAATGCTCAGTAAATAGCTTTTGCTAAAATTCTATTCCAGCAATTATTGCATTAATAATCCAATCTAATATTAATTAGAGAATATCGTCTAGATATTCTAATCGTAAAATGAAATTAATAGAATATTGTTATTTGGACTGTTTCCTAAGTGAAATTGGTTTTTACAACAGAGAATCCATTTTAGCGAGTACGTGCCTATAACTAAATTAATATCAGAGTTAATTATTTTGTCTGATATAGGTACCTATTTCAAGCTGATCAAAATTGAATAATGCTTCATGGTTAACCCATAACAAAGGCTGTCATAAAGTGTTTTTTTTTTAAGATAAAAGACAAAATGACATTATGTTCGCTTAACTTGGGGAATTATCTAAAAAAACAAAAACATACTCTAGGTTTAAACAAGCTGATTTCTGAATGAACAAAAATTCAAGAAAAAAAAAAGGTAATTCCGATACCGGGAATCGAACCCGAGCCTTCTGGGTGAAAGCCAGATATCCTAGCCACTAGACCATATCGGATCATGTTAAGTTAAGTTCTGAATAGTTTTATGAGCAAAAAGTAAATTTTAAACAATTCAAACTACCTTTTTGGCTGACAAAATTCCATGAAAGAGCTACTTGCCACTTGAGCCTTGGAGACAAACAAAAAAAAATACAAAACAACTGCAAACAAACCTGACATGTCTCATCTGTCAGTTTTGTTACAAACTGAAGTTTGACAAAGACAAAGACATTTGTCTAAGGGCCGGTTTCTCAATAGCAAGTTATAATGTTTAATAAGCTACTTTAGGCTCCCGAGGTGTTGATTGAAATATACAGGTTGTCCCACCGGGAACCAAATCTATTTTATATGTATATGAAAAACTGCGTATGCAGAAAATTTTTGAAAATTTGACAGTAGGCTCAGGGGCGGATGGGGTAGGTCAGACCGGCCCTGGGTTTCTCAAGCCTACCGCCCCCTTGAGCCGTAGAAAGCAGGAAAATTGTATGCCAAAGCCTAGTTCTCATGCAGCGGAAAAATCGCGTGGCGAACGCGGATTTTTTAAAATTTGGCCCTCAGCGGGGAAATGTCAACTTATTGCGATATCGCAAAAAAAAAAAAAAACGAATTTTCGCGACGAATTACTTCCATGAATTCATGAACACAAACACTTTCGCGAGAAACTCATGACGTCATATTGAACATAGTTCCACAAAAGCATGGACGCAGCTGCTAGCAAGCTGTCAAACTCATGACGTCACAGACGAAGTATGGTTCGTCCTTGAATGAACTACATTCGTCACGAAAATTCGGTTAAAGTTGAATTATTTTGCGCGAATTTTTATCCTCCGTCACTTTTTACTGTCACCTGTGAGATGTATGGTACGACATTTGATAAAAATCACTAAAATATTGTCAACTAGCTGGTTAGGAAAGGAGGACCCGGTATTCAACCTTATTAATTTAATTGCCGATTTGGTCGGATGTTTATTGTAATTCAGCAATAAGCGGATATAAATTGCGCTGCAAGCCGCAGCAAAGGCAGACTTAAACCAGTGCAAGTATCTCTCTTTGGAAAAGCCCCTCTGGAATTAAATCTCCACAGTGCAAGTACCTCTCGTTGGGAAAGCCCCTCTGGGTATCTTCAGCCTTATCGTTGTCCAGTGCAATTACCTCTCGTTGGGAAAGCCCCTCTGGAGAAGGCATAAGGGTGACGATTTCTAATCTACAGTCCCCCAAGCAGCGTTGACGTGTGGCTCCCTATAAGGACCCCAGTGTTCGAAGGGTCATGCATCCTATATAGGACTAGCGTTCATGTAAGGGCATATTTGGGAAAATATATACCTATATTTTTATATAACCTGAGCGAGTATCTCTCCATCAACCCCCAAAGCTACAAACCCCTCATGTGACCCCCGTAAACCGGGCAGTTGTAACATTATAATGTGAAATTCCCTAATAGACCCTGAGATAGGACATGTTTAGTGAAGTCATTTTTTTTTGTCTGGCATTTTGAGGGCTGAATGTGGCTAGTTAGCTGATGAGAATATAAGTGGTTTTAATGCCTGCCGCCTGTTCGAAATGTCCACAGAATGTTTCGCCGGAAAACTCGATTTCGAACTGTGATTACCGTCTGGCGATTTTTCAGCGTTATTTTCACAACAAAACCTTCTATTCACTCGATTGCCAGACAAAAAGTAAACCGGAAGGTTCTTTTCTTCTCTCTTGGAAGTTGACACCCATCCCCACTTTTTCAGCTATTGAAGAGCATCTGGTATTTTTCATGGGTGAATTATTTATCAAGAAAGGCCAAGGTGGCAACCCTAGTCGGAGCCGGGGGCGAAACTTTTTTTAGTAGCCACGCTCAAAAATATCTTTCTAGTGTTTCAAATTTCTGGACGCCAGAGGTGAAATTAGTGATAGGGGATAATAGTAGCTATTTATGTCATTAGGACAAAAAGTGGGAGCAGTAACGGGGGCACCTGAGCCTGAGAAATTTTTCGATACCGTGGGAATATCTCTAGATCGGCGGCGCCTTTGATCTGAAATTTCGTGGATTTGACTCGGACCAACCCCAAATTTTTCGACGTCATGATGTTATCGGTAGCGCCATCTATCGTGTGAAGTTCGCTGTGTCCTTTTACAGGATGCCGTAGTTGTAAATAGGAAAAATTCGTGAATCAGCACGCTGCCGACGTTTATTATGGGAACAGACAGGAGTATCATGTTTCACGGTTAACCGGCAGGGACACTTTATCCGTTAGGACAATTAGGTCATGTCCTATGGGCCACTAGAGAATGAAGGCCAACTGCTGGCCTTCAATTTATAATATAAAATATAAAAGCCCACTATACTAAAAACATCGACTTGTTTCATAGCAGGACTAGCATATATTTCAATACTCTTTAATTCTTATAATTCACACTGCACAAGCACATTTGGTTTGGCCAGAGTGCACTGCCTGACGTTACGATGTTCTGGAGTCGCTCCGCTCGCTCCATCGAGCATCAATCCGGAACACGCCCTAGAGTAATCGAGCTGCGCTGAATCGCCGTCGCGTCATTAGCGCAGCACGGGCACGTGGCAACTGGCAACGAGTCCAGTGTACCACGAAGTCGTGCCTTGTTGTTGTGGAGCTTGAAGGACATGCACAGGCAACGTGGTAGGAATTTTCCTCAGAGTTGGTCCCAAGCCATGCAGCTGTTCTTCCGAAGCACCCATCAGTAAACTTAGTCCCCAGCATCCATATGTGGTGATTGGTAGACTGGGAGCTCAATGCCATCATTTTCTTTTAGGACCTTCCGACCATCTAGCATTATTATTCCATCATTTTGTAGTACATTTCTTTGATTTTACCGAATACTTCTTGGCAACATTTTGCTTCATATTCTGCCAGGTTAGTATAGTTTGAAATCGTCTGAATTATTTTATTTAACCCTATAAAAAAAACAATCACTAATGAAAGGCCATACCAAATAATTGACCTACGGGCCAGAGAAAGGTTAAAGCGTCACTGTTAACCGGTTGGCCCGGGTCAAATCCACGTGATTTCAGATCAAAGGCGCCGCCAATCTAGAGATTTTCCCACGGTATCGAAAAAAAAAAAAAAAAAAAAAAAACAATCGAGCGAAACCCAGATAGACCTTCTGGGCCGAATGGCATACATTTTATTTTCAAGCGACTGCAATATTACCTTTCACAACTATAATTTAAATAGATGGCGCCACGGCCCTGGTGTCCGGACTAGTCCGGAGCACTTTTCTTATAAATAATAATAACAAAACTACTTAAAATACAAACACAAGCAAAATAAATGAAATTTGTGAATAAATCTAACCTCAACGTCAGAACAAAAATTAATAAAAAAAAGTCCAAATAAGCTGAAAACTGCCTGCCTTTTATTCAAAAATGAATAGTTCGAAAATCGTCCCAACTACTCCCGACCACAGAGCATGGACAGATTGGATCAACATTGGATAGTTCTCGAACATTTGAACTATCTAACATCCGAAACAGATGTAACCCGAATACCCGTTTTAAGTTCAAAAACAAATTAGTGGAAATTATGAATAAATTCTGCTTTCGAGAACTCGCTGTAGAACTTGGTTGTTCACGCTGGAGAATACGAAAAAAATAATTACAAAAACATAATAGCGCATAGCGCTAATTGACGCTGCTGCTTCTAGCGAGAAAAAACCGAACAAATTACTCCAAACATAAAGATTTTATGGTCCTAGGAACATAATGGATCACTTCTGTGTCGAGTGTTGTCGACAATAAAGTTCAAATTATGTACCAGTTTAAAATAAAAGAATATAACTAAATAAGTTCCCGTCTGAGCAACAAAAATAAACTGGACTGGTTCCCATTCTCGAAGATATATTATTATTGGAGCTGACATTTCTGATGTAAGGTTTACAAGAACTTATAAAAAAGTTTTTTTATTAAATCGGCAGAAGGCGGCCCAATTTCGGTGTCCGGCCCACCGGGCATTCGCCCGGCGGTCCCATCCGCCCCTGAGTAGGCTTATCTCAATGAGGGCAACTCGGCTTAAATATTTTCAAGATGGTGGCACTTCCGGTTATACCGGAAGTACAG